TATTCAATTGCCAAAGAAACTCATGAGTTATGAAACCCTAGAGGGTTGTCCAACATGCCAACCCATTTTGGCTAGTTTTAGTCAATAGTGACAAAGTTATCTTCGATAAACTTTAGCTAAAAAAGGAAAAATTGCATATTCACAAATTCTGCAGTCTCTTTCAACACTATCTGGTACTCTTTCTTTTTAAATGAGAAGTCAAGCTTTCCTAGAGAGAAAATGAAAGAGTAGAAAAAAGAAAAGCCAACGAGCATAAAAAAAATAATAATGATAATAAATAAAGAATCAGCCTAAGCTAGGGGAGCCAACCAACTAACTAAACAAACAGGGCTTTAATCACAATACTAAGACCTAGCAGATAAATTGAAAAGTCCTAGGAGGCCAGCATCCAACACCCAGATAAGTAAGTTTTTTTTAGCTCCATTTACGTGTAAATGTAGACCACCCTTTTCATATTATAGGCTTGGTCTTCTTTCGACCTAGTGGGAGTTATTTTTGTAATCAACCTTTTGGCGATGGAGGCCTCTTTCCCCTCTTTATATTTCATTCATCAATTAAGCAAATGTTTCTCCTAAAAACAATATAACAAGAATAATAATTATAATAATAAAAATAATAATAAAATTAAAAAAAATACAGCACACAGAAGCAAATGGGCATGCTAGAGCAACTAAAACAAACACAAATCACTTAACACAATAACCCCCGCCACAGAGACCACAATTACACCATGGAGTGCTACCCAGTTGGTATGGACAACAAAAGGAGAAGGGTTATAAAACGCTTGAAATTAGACATAAATAGCTACCACCTACTTATTATTTACAAAAATATTAAAATAAATAAATAAATCTCATAATGAATAGGTTTGGATGGACCCATATTGGTTGTTTTTGCTAGACTATTCAAATATAAACTAAAAACTAACCTCCAAAAAGAGAAACCTCCCTGTTGGAACTCTTAGCCTTCGGACTACTTTTTTTAGGGTTAATATTTGCAGGCTTCATGTCTCCAACTGAAAAACTACCTAGTCCTTCTGAGGACCGAACTTGAGGTGTAATTTTCTCAAGACGAGCATTAATATCTTTCACCTGGAGGTAGATGATAAAACAAAAATTCAGAAAATTATAATAGTAACATCCATTTCCATAAATTAGATTGCTACTTTATCTGAAGTAAAATAAAACTATAAGCATTCAAGCACTTTCTAATCATAAAAGAAATTAGGAATAAGGGACTAAACGCATCCTTATAACAAAAAGGGCAAGGGGGGAAGACGAGATGATTGAAGAAAAAACTTACCATATAGGTAGGAAGGTGATGGCGCTGAAGCTCATCACGCAACTGTGGCCCAGCCTGTGTATACATCTCCTGAAGAAAAGAAACTTTAAGTCTAATCGCTGAATTCAACAATAGCATATTGCAATTGACACTATCTGACATTGACATAAGCTTGAACCAGAATGCCCATTGTTGCAATTAACTCAAGGTCGCTAACCTCAATACAGACTATAGCGGCTTCCCTAACTCCAGGGTTTGGATCATTTAACATCTGCAAAATCTGTAGAGAAAAACTTTTATCAAGTACACTTCTAAGATGGAAAAAAGTTACCAGACAAAAAGGTTTTTCGTTTTTCTTATGTTTTGGAAATTCAGTTTCATACCGAAGGTAGTACAGCCCGCTGAAGTGTAAGCTCAGTTGATGCAAATAAGCCAATGGCTGCTGTAACAGTTCTTGCAAACTCTTCCCGTATTCTCCAGCTTTTGTGTGACCATGCATAAGAGCCAGCTCTTTCAACAATGATTGTTGGAGAAGAAATCTGTAGGTAGCAACCTTTATTAGGTATGTCGTGTGCATTTTTTCCTTTCAGCAGGACCATATAAAAAAGACAAGAATTCTACATGCTCTTTCCTTGCGCAGGCAAGCAAACAAAACAAGGAAAAAGTTTTGAGTGAATAATAAACAATATATTGGATACAAGAAGAAAATAATTTTTTTTTCATTTTCTCACTCCATGAATTCAACTACTTAAATCTCGCCCTGCCATATAAAAAAACAAAGATTAGCCTTGAACTAACAGTACAAGAGATACATATATCAGTCTATCTAACAGAAACCGCGAAAAGCGGCAATAGCTCCTTCGTAGAATTAATAATGTTAAGAGGGGACACTTACACCCCCCATTAAAAAGGAAAAATAAAAAGTTCACTAAGATAACTGCCACCTGAAATTTTTTTGACTGCGATCACGGAGGTAAGTCGACCTTAGTATTCTATGGTCATATGACCATATTTGCAACCTACATGTGAACAGTAAGGATAGACAGAGATTGACACAGATTATTCTTACGTCGAAGACTTGATCAAAAACCCACAGCCGCCGATCAAAATTAATGGGAAATGATATTGGTTAATGAATATGTAGCCAACACAAGGTGTAATTTGCTGGTTCTAAGCATCAACAAATCTGGGCATACTAAATAAGCTTTAAGGCAAAGAACGGATAAAAGAGCTCGATACCCAAACAATGAAGGAAAATACTGTAACCATTCCTAGGATGCACTATCACGACCCGATTAAAGATCATTTGAGTACACAGAACGCAATGAAATATCTAAGTTCTTGTAAATAGGGGAGAGAAATTTCGGCCGAACTCGGAAGAAAGAAACTAAATCGACTCCAAGTGATTAGATTTCAATCAAATTCATGGATTCATTTGCCACATAGACGGCAACAATTGCTGAAATCGTTAAATCCGCAGAAGTAAAGGCTCATCCAGTACCTCCATAAGAGTGAGCAAGAGCCTCCTTGCGGCTTCTCTCACAGGTTGCTTCGCATCACCCAATCGCTCGACAACAGCGGGGACAAGGGCATTGAAATGCAACTTGAGAGGCTCGCCAGAGAGCACAGCAGCAGAAGCCAAAGCCTGGAGAGCACCCTGGGAAACCCTAAAGTTGTTGTCCTTGAGAAGATCGAGGCAGCAATCAACCAAGGCCGTAGTCTCGGCGGAATTCAAACTTTTTCTGGAAGCTTCGAGAAGTTCATAGAGGCGTTCGACACCGGCCATGCGCTCCTTGGTGTCCTTGGCACGAGCCAGCTCCAATGCTTCCTCCATATCTGAGGTTGGTGAGCACGGATCCGGCGGGCCAAGTCTCAGATCTGAACAAGATACACCAGAGTTGGTAGCGGATTCAGCACATAGAGGGAGAGTGGCATGAAAGTCGTAGAGTGGAGGCAAGTAGCGGAGATGAAGGAAACAAGAGTTCCGGCGAGAAGAACGGAAGAGAAATATTCAATTGGGGAATCGAATCGCCGCAAAATTATGGAAGCGCAGACAAATTTAACCAACTGGGTCGACTTTGCAGACGAGAGAAACGGGGAAGAAGAAGAACAGTGGCAGTGAATTGAAGTCGAGAAAAAAGAGAGGCTTTGTAGAGAGACAGAGAGTGAAGATTATTGATGGAGAGAGAGAGAGAGCGACTGTGGGGTGGAGGACTCTTGTGGGTGACAGACTGAAATTACATTTTTACCGCTCCTTTTGCTTCTAATTAACGATTTCAACCACCTCCCTTTTTTTTTTCTTTTTTTTTTCTTTTTTTTTAATCTTATAAAAGAAACTAATTTAGTTTTTAACTTTAATATGTAATCATTTATTCTTTATATTTTAAATTTATAATAATTTAATCTATATTTAATGTAATTTATTGTTTACTAAAATTGGTAAACGGAGCGAGAATCAAATATGCTTATAAATTATAAATACAAAGTCTTTATATAATACAAAATTAAATTATTTTGATGAGATTTTTATAATATAAATTAAACTAATTCAATTTAAAATATTGAAATTAAATTAATTAAATTGCCGCATGGACTAAATTGTCTCCTATAGATAAATTAGTTTAAAGTATTAGATTAAAAATTAATTAGTTGAGGCTTTCACTTTTTTTATTTTGTTAGATGTACAGCTTGGCATTGTGGTGTACGAGACTACTGTCGTAATAAAATAATGTGTTTCTTTTGAATAATTTAATCTAAATAATATTTTATTTTATCCCTAAAGCATATTGTTAATGGTTGGATTATAATAATATGTAAAGTTTGAAATTTTTTAATTACATCTTATTACTAAATCATATTGTTTATAAATACCACGTCATGCAGTACAAAGTTTTTAATGGAAAAAAAATTATTAAAATTATATTTCTAGTTACCAGGATTCTTTGAGATTATTCATCACAATTTTACAATTAAATATTCAAATACAAATTTAATTAATGAAATTTGAGGGTATAAAGTCCAGTTATACCTTTAAATTTCGAACTAGTTTCTTTAGGAACTAATTTGATTCCGCTCGTAAATTTTTGCACGGCATCGTCTTGTGACGTAAAAATGATTTTAGAAACAAAAACATCAAATAGTCATGAGAATTGATAGGGACAAAGAGGTAGCCATAGTGATACAGTTGGTTATCAAGAACCATAACGCTACACGGTTCTCAAATAGTACGCATTACCTGTCCTACTTTCAGCTATTGTACTAATCCTAGCTAGAACATAAGCGAATATGGATCTTCATAGTCTCTTTTAAAATTCTCGTTATGTTATGCATAATTTTAATTATAATATTGAACTCTCGAACAACTACTAGCCCTCTACCAAACTTGGTATTTAAAAGGATATTAAAAAGAACAGGCAACCAACTCTTTGTTTAAAAAAAATAGAAGAGCTTTCCTATTGATAATCTCAAACAAAAACATGAATTAAGATTAGTTGGAGTTGAAGATAAGTTGCACCAAATGAAAAGGGTTGGTTGAATTGTCATTTAGGAAGTGATGATTGTAGCAAAAGAAAATAAAAACCCCCATTTACCCATTAGGTTTGTCCAAATCTACTCCAAATGTTGTTGATCTAAAAACAAAAAAGAAAAAAGAAAAAAGATCCCTACACCTTTCACATTTTCTTGCTTTTTTTTTTTTTTCGTCTCATTTGGGAAAAATGTTTGCAAATTGAAAATAATGGACTGATAAAATTAGTTCGTTTAACCTTAACTCATAGTTGCTAGACGATTTGATTCATAAAGTTTAAAACAAGAAAACAGTTTAGTTGACTCAATTATATATTCATCCATCTTTAAAATCACTGAGCTACTTTGCACTTTTCCCTACTTCGAGTCGGTTTTCATTCCGGGTTTGGATTCATCTCCGTCTCAACTCTCTTCCCTTCGCATACTCGTATGTCTCCCTCCACGTCAAGACTCTTCCTAGTTCATGCTACTTTAGAATACATCTACACCTAAAAAAAACTCATTATATAACAAATATTAGAAGAAGTTATGTCGAGCATCCTGTAATGTTAAATAAATGAAGTATCATGAGTGGATAGAGGTAATTATTGATGGAAGAGTTAATTTGGAGGTCATGATTCTCAACACAATTACAATTAGGTGGAGAGGAATTATTAGAATTTTTAGAGACTTTCCAACAACTCCAAAAGAAAAAAGAGAAGGAAAATAATATTTGAATAGGACAATAAGAATGGCATCTTGTTGTTGGAATTATGAAGGTCCAAATTCGATAAGACAATTATGATTTGTGACCAAATAACTTATTACAAAATTATTTTTAATTTGGAATTTTCTAATTCATTCAACTCTCCCTTAAATCCTTTCTACCAACAGGTCTACATCTTTAGGTGTTTCTAGATATTTAAGCTTTTAAAAATGGTGTTAAAACTATTTTTATAACGACCCATTTAGATTCGACATTTGATGACCTCAACATTCCTTGCGACATAATCACATTACGTTTGTAAAAATAATCGGTCAATATAATAGTACTTCAATGCGTTATCTCTCTCGTTTCAATTTTTGTATGTAGAGCGTACTTGAAAAATATTAGGTATGAATTGTTACAATCACTTGGACAATTTCGTATAAGATTAAATCCTAGACACAAGTCGTTACACTGTCACTTAGACAATTTTGCATAGGGTTAGTCGAGATGTATAAATATATATATATATATTAAAAAGAAGCATCCCATGTTCACTTACTAGTTGCAGGTTGGGAGCCATTTATCACCTTTTTCTTTTCATGACCAGAAGATAAAGATGAACTTTTAGTATGGACATTGATGGGTAGCAGCAGCCTTTCTTCCTTGCCCTACCGAAAAAAACTTCAATCAGTACACCATATCCAATCCTAAAAACTTTGGCCCATTATTGCTACCCATCATAAGAGTTTGGGGGTTAGTGCCTTATAACTGATCCAACTCCGAACCAATAATTGATACAACTCCGAACCAATCATTAATAAGTAAAAGTTTGGAATATAAACACAAATTTATGATATACAACAAGATTATCAAATTTGGAAAGATAATATGAAATTTGAAAATAGAAAAAACACGATTCTAGGGATTGCAAAGTCTAAAAAGGTTCTGGAGGTCGTCCCTGGTTACAACTTAAAACTTTTACCTTAAAGATCTAAACAAAAAAAAGAACCATAAAAATAAAATTATGCACACTCAAAAATTTCATAACTACCTAAAAAGCAATCTACTGTGAGATTATACAACCTTTTTCTTTATACCCGTGAGTTTCTAGACTGACTTTAAGTACATTTCGATTAATCTCGTAGAATAACTAGCCGTCGAACCTTAATAAAGTATTGAACAGACAAACAGAAAAAAGAAAAGAAAGCTGTTGTCCAGGATGATTTCGATGGTATCCAAGATTACATAACATAAGTTGAATGGTACAGACTATTATGCATGCTTAATTAACCTTCTATCATTTATTCGCAACATTCATGTGGAAGAACAGAACTTTTTGTTACAAAAAGAAGGAAAAAAAGAAAATCAAATTGTTCCAAAAAAAAAAAAAAAAAACTCAGAATCTATTATTTATCACATTTCTAGATTTGAGTATGACACAATAATAGAAAATCAACTTTTTTTCTATGATTTATCACAACCATTCTTTTTACTTCTTTAAAGTATTATATCACAATTTCCAAGTGTCTTATATTACAATCCCAACTACGGATATAGAATTTGAATATTAAACCTATATTAGTTGAACCATGTTGAACTATTCAAGTTAGCTATCTATACTATTTTACCCTCCACAAACTTTATACTATTATTTCTACGGTATCAATACAAACCTGATTTATCCAGAGGTAGTCATGCTTGCTCTTTGTGATTGGTTCCAGAGTAGCAGCAACATCTCAATTTGTCCTCTGCTGGACATGGTACAGGTGACTGGTTTCAATGTAGCAGCAATATTTCCGTTCTTCCTCATTTTCTTCTGAACATTGAACAAGTTTATAGGATCAAACCTCAAACCTATAACATCAAACCTCAATCATGCCAAATATGTACTCGGGTTTGATAACTTTTAATATCATTTTACCGCCTATAAACTTTAAACGGTCATTCCTACGCTAGATTTGTACAATTATAAAGCAAGTTTTTGGCATGGTACTCAGAGTTATTAAAAGAGTACATATATAGATTAGTGTATGGAGTATAGTTGGATGGGACAGAAGAGCCAGTAGGAATTAAAGTAGAATAGAGACAGCACATGTGTGAAGCAACAGATGTTGTTACCTAATGAATTAATGAAATGGGGTCACCTTGCCTTCCACGTTGCTTTGCAACCATTTTCATTCCAACTTCCAAACTTCATATTTTTATCTGTGATTTCGTATCCATATGACCCCTTGTGTTGCATATGGATTTGCCTGCCATTTGACAACACTAAAGTTCATATCCCAACTCCCAACTACTAGCATGTGCTCAGTTCTAATTTAGAACCTCCAAAATGTCACTACCACACATGCTTTTTCTTCCTTGGTAATGTGAAACTTATGTTTGCATCCCTGGCATGCCCTTACCAAGTCTAATATATATATATATACATCCTTGAGTGTGGCCAAATTGTTCACATATTGACTAATCTCACAAGACAACCAGTTGACCCTATTGTATTTGGTTGCGGATAGGATATTAAATGCTAAGTAGGGGACCTAGGATAAAAATATATATAGTTGGTAGATGCTTTAGAACTTCCAAAACTATAGTCCTTCCAAAAACTATCGAGATCAAAATAAAAGCCAAGCATAAGTTAAAGACAAATGTTAACTTAAGAATGAGAATGAAAGAATTAATAATTAATGGTAACTATTTAATGCTGAACTTAAAGAGTAGAAAGAGAAAAAGTAGGCAGAGAAACGAGGAATAAGAAGAACAAACAGTACGAAAACTGAGTGAAATGATTCTATTGTCGGTAGTTATTTTATGTCTACGAAAGAGAGAGGGGAAAAAGCAGAGGAATATGCAGTTTCGACAGAAAAATGTACAGCAAAATGGGAGTAGGTCTAGGGATGGTAGAATGCACATAATAAAAATGGCAGAGATTATTTGGGGCTGTATATGAAAAACTATAATATATTATAATGAGAACAAAAGAGAGGTTGGTCATGGGCAGAAACCTGTCAAATTAAGCAGCGCCTCTTCCACAAGTTCTTCCAGCAATTTCCCTTCTATTTCCTTCCCTAAATCATCCATTTCCTCTTGTAATTGCTGAATCCAGCTCTTCCCCACAACCTCCTTCCGAACCACCCTCTCTACCACCAGGCTGTTAATGTCCCCAATCTCAAAACCAACACATTGTGTTTCGTACGATAGCCAATCCTTCAATCTGTCCCACACACTGTCCACCAAAGCTTGTGAGGGAGCATCAGCATTTACCCAGTTGTAAGACATTGCCATTGTGCTCCTATCTGACCGAAATCCTGCGATATCGACCAGGATGGCATTGACGCTGTCAAATATGAGTTTCCAGTTTGAACTGGATTGCCTTTGTTTCGCCTCCTGTTCTGGCTCTTTAGCACTTAGGTTGGCAAACTTGTCTCTTAGTGAAGGATCCAATGGATAATCGAGAGAATGCCATCTTGAGAAAAATGAGTTGCACTGCACACTGTCATCGAGGCCATTGGCTGAGAGCAGAGTTTTGACAAGGCCGAGCCACTTTTGTTCCTCGTTTTCTGTATCTTCACATGCTAATGAGGGTTTAACCAAATATGGATCTGTGTTTTCTGAATATTTATTTTCCCATGTCGTAGTCCGAAAAATGGACTCTATGGGAAGCGATTTGTCAATTATGTTGGACTTCGTAGGCACTTGAATTCCTGGAAAAATAGGCAAGTCAAGAAATAGCATACTCTAGACAGTGTATTAAAGATAGGTCAAACGACAAACTTAAGGCTACATAATATAGTGTCCTTGAATTATAGTTTTCTTTTTTCTGCAAAAGTTCCACCATCAATCAAATTACACAAATTTTGTACTACTTCTACAAAGTAAAATTGACCATATTTCAAGGACACTTTTGACACTAATTAATCATTCTGAGATCAAACTTCGAAACTAAATTCATTATAGCTCAGTCTGATACATCGATGGATAGCTAGAGAGAGTATGAGTACCTCTGATGTCTGGCTTCATATGGCCAGAAGACGAGCACATCTCGAAGTCATCCTCATCAAATAGTGGTTCAAAAACAGAGCATGGACACGGATTGTCCAGGTTCTCACTGGCATTTCCTGGCATCAAATTTCTTGCAAAAGGCAACCCAGCCTGCAAAATTTAAATTTAGTTCTTCAGCAAGTTATTCAAAAAAAGAGAGAATACTTCACAAATTACTGGAAGAAACAGCCAGCAATAATGCATTAAACTTCTATTCACCACGCATGAAGACCTAGGCTACTTAGTGCTTCAACATTACTGAGAGTAACAAAGACCAACGGCCTACCAGAGGCTGGAACAATTAGATGCCATTAATTATTGGATTTTCAATTTGAAAACTTTGAATTTCTCAACTCCATATAGAACATTAACAATCAGAAATCCAGTCACCATGTTTTTTTCCACGACAAAGCATAACAGAATACCATTTCAATCTCTGTTCTTATTACAAATATTTATTAAACATTCCTCAAGTCCCAGATCATAAGAGGGATTCTTAAGTGGCTCTGAACTCATAACCAAAGCCTATAACAAACGTTAACCAACCATTCTTAACAGTTAGAATAATGCCCTGGCACATGGTAACTAAGTAGGTAGACAACCTCAGGAAGAAAAATCAGAAAACACAAAAGAGTGGGGGAAATCTTAATGTTCATGAAAAGAACAGATGAATATGACAACCTTGCCTAAAATGATACTTCTGAGGAAGTAATTACTGAATGGAGCCAAATCGACTATAAGAAGATAGATTACCTCAAGAGAGACCACGCCCAATGTGTTGGTTAAATCCGGAGACGTCTCTGATGATCTACACAGAGCAGAGAATGAGCATTCTTCAAGTTGAGTATTGTTGACACAAGATGCATTATCACCAACCCTGCCAGGAGGTGGAGAGGCTCCAAGCGTTCCCACAACAGAAGTATCCAATTCCTCTTTACATAATGCATTTTGTTTTTCTTTGTTCAGTTTCTTATTCCTGGAGAAGAATAAACTAGAAATTTTTCCTTTAAATGATGATTTAACCTTTGTCGGACAAGTTTTCTCTGGGATAACATCTGTCGTAGCAGACTTTGGAGCTTCAAAACCTAGTCTGCCACGTGACATCAAAGGAGATACTGGTGCAGACTTTGACCTCTGGAGACTTCTAGGAGAGTTTTCAATCTCTTCCTTACTGAAGTCAGTACTTAAGCAGGATGCGAACTCCCTCCACTTTTCTTCCTCATTGGTTATCTGATCAATAGATTCGATGGACTTTTTTGGATCTGACAAACAGAGCATCTCACCCAATGTACTAGAGCTTCTCCTTACATGCCTCGGTTCGTGAGAATTGGCATTTGATGTGATCGTTGACCATCTTTCAGAGAGACGCTTCTTGGCTTCACGGCAAACCAATGACTCTGGAGAACATGAAACACGGCTGAAGGAAGAAATAGAATAAGGGCTATCAAATTTGTTAACATAATCCCAAGAATGCCTGGAAGACGGTGACATTAATTCTAAGTCACTGAGATCCCTCCCTGTATATTCATTCTCTGACTTGTAAAATGAACTCTCATCACCAGTATAACCATTAGAAAAGACAGAAGAAATAAAAGTTTCATCCCTTTGATGTCCCATTTGACCTTCACTCAACTGTTCAGAAATCTCCGTTGCAGCTTCCCCTAATTCTGGCACCTCGACACCCTCAGCTTCCTCATCCAAATTTCCAGAGGTTTTATCAGGTGATGAACTAGCTTGTTGAGTTCCCACAGTTTTAACACCATGATTCTTACCAATGTTAGGCTTCAATACCACTATTCGTGTGGGTTGAACATATTCATCAACTCTCTGGTTTGAAAAAGTAGGCACATTACTGGACTTGTCACGAGCAATGGAATGGTAGACCTGAGTCGGTTTTCTCATCTGATTCTCACATCTTTTCCCCGTCCCAAATTTTTTTTCAGTGCTAACTAAATTTGAGGGCCTAAGGATAGTGATGCACGTCTTCTCAGGAGATGTAGGAAGTGAACAAAGTTGAAAACTATGCTGAGAAAACAAGGAATTTGGTTCTTGCAATAATTTGACAAACGATTCCTTATTGGAGCTGAGAACTTCTAAGGCATCTTGGAATTCTTTAGATTGCCTAAATTTCTCATCTGTAGCCATACGTTTTGCTTCAGTGAATTTTTTACGAACAAGGGTAATTTTTTTTTCATCAATATTTTTGTCAAACTTTCCATAATGCAACTTTTTTCTATCATAATTTGTTTTCAAACTTTGCTGCCATATTTCATAAACGTCTACGGAGCTTTGATGAATTTCACATAGGGCGCCCTTCTCCAAACAGTCATCAACTTGTTCTATACGTTCTAGTGGCAACCTAGATTCTTTAACTATACATGTGGAACCTCTTGAAGGTGTTTTATAAGCAGCTGAACCAGGCTGCTCTGGCAAAGTATCTAGCCCCATCAACTTTGCAACAACATTTGGGGGAGAAATCTTAGATTCAGCCTCTTTTGACATTTCCTGGTCTATGAGCATCTTCATGGGCGTTTGATTTGCCTTCCCAATTGAGTGACCCTGCAATGCAGTAATAAAACAAACTTTTTACACAACTAAAAAAGGAAAACAAAAATCCAAACATCGTGTAGAAAATGGACATGCAGTGCAACAATTTTTCATGCTTTATACAATACACATCACTGTTAACAAAGCCTGAAAACAATTTACCAGTCCACCCTCTATGTGACTGTCAAGTGAAGAACTCGACATAATTGCTGCATCTGAGTGACTTCTTGGGAGTACAGAACCTGCAAAGAAGCATGTAAATATCAACAATTATCGCTTTACTAATAAACACAACAACTGACAGAAAAGAACACTGGTTACTCCAAGGGCATCAGAAGGAGAAGCTTTAAACTAAACATTACAAAAAATACACGAATTTTTTTTTTTTTTTTTGACCATATCCTATGCTAAATTTGTTGTTTTTTTTTTTTTGTTTTGTTTTTTTACTTTTTTTATGCGGGCACGATACTCCTGCAATGTGTAATGCATAAATAAACACAACCCAGAGCAAACTAATTTTTTTGATTGGCCAATTTGATACGATTAGTTAAGGATTAGCGAAGGAGAAGAGTATCATAAACAGTACATCCTCCATATGGCACCAATTAAGCTTTAAAGTTTGAAACTTGGCAAAACCAAATGAGGCAACAAATTCACAAGCAAACACCATTTGAGAAGGCAGTCAAGTTTGACATTCACTCGTGTGCACAGAAAACCAGGATTTAAGGGAAAAACACCAATAGAACTAAGAACAAGATTTGGACTAAGAATGATTCGCATTAGCGCCTCGCACTAGTAGCACACAGTCAAACCTTCAAAGAAGAAATTATAAAAATTTCGAAAATGATAACGGGGAATATGATCAGAGACAAAAGTCCTAGAGAAAAAACATAAGAAAAAGGGAAGTCACCGTCGCGATGCGGCTTATCCGTCAGAAGCTTGTTCCTACTAACGCCTGCACTCAAGTCAAACAGGTTTACCATTCTTCCCAAGCATCCAGGGAAAGGTTTTTCCATTTTATTACGGGCTGTTCTTCTTTGAACTTCCTTCATTAAAACACTGAAAATAAAAGAACATTAACTACTTTCTTCAAGAAGAACAGAGCGTATGTTCCCGAATTTCACAATAAAGAAAAAGCAAACGGGAAAAAGTTCAGGGGGTAGTTTCGCACCTTAAAGTTTCTAGTTGCAGGCTTCAACCTTGAGAATGAGAGAGAGAGAGAGAGAGAGGGGGGGGGGGAATTTGAAAGGTAAGATCCCAAGTTTCAAGAAGGAAGAAGCCAATGACCATAGATATGAACACACAGAGAGAAGAAGCGAGAAAGGGCGGGAGAGAGAAGGAGAATATTCAAAGAGAGAAAGAAGCCATTCATCCAATCGACACAGAAAGAAGGAATAAGCAATGCAGACGGAAAGTTCTGCATGATCATACGAAGCATCACATCAGTTCTTACGTCACAGCACGATAAACCCCAAAAAAAGAAAAAAAAAATCGAAGTACATACTTAATTAAACGTTGCTGAGTTCTGTGGGGGAGCTCACTGATCGAGGTCTCAAAGAGCCAAAAATTCAACTGGATGTTTAAAATCGGATTATAAAAAGCTCTGGAATCAAGAATTTCCCCTAAAAGAAACAGTAAAACAGCAGAATGAGAACCATTAGCAGAAGAAAGACCCAAAACCCTGCAATCAGTAACCGCTAATCCCAAGATTAAACACCAAAGCTGACTTGCAATGAGCAGTAAGTTGATTCGGAACCACAATTTACTCCGGAAACTAAAAAGGAACAAGTATAAAGATAGAAATGGATAATCTAGTTTCAAAATTTAGCAAGGAAAGGAAAAAAAAAATGGAAAAGCTGCAATTACATGAGACAGAAAGAGAATGAGATTCGAAAACAGCAGAGAAGCAGAAGAAATTCGGAAAACGAGAGATCAAAAGAGGAACAGAAAAATGCAGAAGAACTACACAGTAGCGGCGGGATAAAGAACCAACCAACATTCTGACACTTACAGAAGCATTCCACAGAGAGTGCGACTGAAAGGTTAAAAGGCAGTCAGGTCAGAGCCGGGAGAGTGGCCGGAAACATCGCCGGTAAAGTGGCACGGAGATTCGGCCAGAACCCGGGATAGTGAAAAAGAAGGGAATTACGTACGGGTAGAAGAATTTTTTTTGCTCCCTTTCTTCACCGACTTGAAATATTTTTATAGAATGTGATGTATTTAAAGGTCCTTTTTTTTATAATTTCTTCGGCAATAAAAACTACCCGAAGAATTAGACTCCCGTAATGGGCCCATTACGGAGTCTAATTCTTCTGGCCCATTGAAAGGATTCACCTTCAAGGGTTCTCTTCATTCCATGTTTGGACCCTTATGGGCCCATAACTTCCAAATATTGTAGTTGGGCCTTAAAAATGGCGAGGGGGAGTGGATAATTATCTATTTTATTTATGCATACAAATATTTTATTTATTTACAAATTTATTAATCTTATTTAATTCAAGAATTTTATCTAAATTTTTAATCCTTTGTTAGTTCAAATCTGCATAAATTTATTTCTAATTATCCACAAGTATTTTAATTTTTATCGAGCAACAACAAATATATCAAACATAAAAAGAATAGACGCACTCGAACAACATTAAAGACATCAAATGTTAATTTAGTGTAACAACCTGACTTCTAAAACATGATTAGTTGAACTATAAAAGTTTTTAAAAATTTAATAAAGCAAAAAATAAGTTAAAAGCTTCCAAATTACAAAACATGAAGCTAATAATGAAAGGAAAAGTTTGTAGAGGTGGTTGTCATGAACTGTTTTCAAAAATTTGGCCAAAAAGATGGCTCTTTTAAATTAAAAAAGGGTTCAAATTTAATTAATTGAAATTAAAGTGTGATAATTGGGGCTTCCATGTGCAAACCAATGCCAACAAAAGCTAATGATCATGCATTATTTCACTAAGTTTTGGGGTCAAACCTATTAGATTATTGGTTCCTTATCAAGATAGAGAAATTAGGTTCTATTTGGATCAAAATCAATAAGTATTTGAATTTTGGGTCATTTTAAAACGAGTATGAATCATTTCGTTAATTAGGATTAATGGGACATGTCTAAATGGCACAATTAGACAAAAATGTCTTTCTTTTTCTGGTTGATGAAAAGAACAATTGAGAGAACTGTCAATGTTAACTGACAGTCGATGAACAAATGAAGTGAGCCTCTATCTTCCATGTCTTACAAAATGCCCAACAAATCAAATTTGTCAAAATGGGCCTTTGGAGCGGGCTCTGTTTCTCTGTTTTTTTCTGTGTGTTTTTTACATGTATACACTGTGTAGAAATAAAATCATCAATGGCGGATATTTTCAGAACTGGGAAATGCAGCGTCTATGGCAAGCGGTGGTTCTCTTCTTTTGTTGCTTCGTCTCCGCCTTCCAAACGGTGCCGATATCTTGAGCTATTTTCATGGCGTCCGACGAAGCCCCTGATAGTCCTCTTCTCGAGAACCCAACTGCGTAAAGTCCCGCATTTCCCTTCCATCCATGTGGTGATGCTGCTTTTGGGAATCCGTTTTTCGAGAACAATTCGCCTTCCTGTTCGTTCAATGCCCAGTTTAAGGTTAGTCACGTTTCAGAATAGCGGTAACCTCTTATAAAAATTTGTTTGCCCACCAGGTGTATGATGAAATTCCTATGAGAAAAAAAAAAGTTTAAATTGAATGTTTGCCTCACCTGAAGCCAAGAGGGGACGTTGCTGCGGTACCCAGTAGCCAAAACTACTGAATCTACATCCAGCTTTTGGCCATTGACGAGCTCAACTTGGTTGCGTGTGAACCGTTTGATTCCAGGAATTACTTTGATGTCACCGGATTTGATTTTCGCCAATGCTCCAAGGTCAAGAACAGGGGTCTTTCCCGTCTCGTTTTTTAGCTCCAATGGTCCCATTGATGGCCGTTTGAGGCCGTATTTTTCAATGTTTCCGAGCACCAGCCATGCCAGGATCAATAAGAGCTTGTCAACCAGCCAGAGGGGCAGCCATTTCATCATCATAACTGCTAGTTCGAATGTTGATTTTCCAAGAACTTCTTTTGGTAAGACATGGACCTGTTGGAAACAGAGCAAGCAAACACCATTAGAGCCAAAATCCAAGCTTCAAATTGCATAGAGCTGAACATGTTAGAACAATGATATTAGTTGGTTCTAATGCTTACCGAGCTTCGGACCACCATTGAAGGTGAGGCATTGTGGTTGCACAAGTCAAGAGAAACTTCCATGCCCGAGTTGCCACAGCCAACCACCAAGACTTTCTTTCCGGAGAACTTCTCCCCGGACTTATATTCACAAGCATGCGACACACCGCCGCAAAACTCGTTCAATCCTTCGATTTCAGGCATTACACGTTCAGCATTCTCGCCAGTGGCAACGACGAGCCACCGGCAAATGTACTCGATCTCGTTACGGGTCGAACCAGCAGTTGAAACGGTCTTAACACGCCACAGGCCGCTGGTTTCATCGTACCTTGCTGATTGAACACACTCATTAAATTGAGGGTTGATCTCAAAATGCTTGGCGTATGATTCAAGGTACTCAATGAACTGTCTCTTGGTTGGGTATTCAGGGAAGTCTTCTGGGAATGGGAGTTTTGGGAGTTGGCAGAATTGCTTTGGAAGGTGAAGCTTAAGCCTATCATAGGTGCGCTTTTGCCACAGCGAGGCTATGCATTCAGCTCGTTCAAGGACTACAAAAGGCACCCCTTGTTCTCTAAGACAAGCAGCTGTGGCCAACCCAGATGGCCCGGCTCCGACGATCACTGGACCGTTAACCCAGACGCAACGACGAGAGAAGAATTCGTCGTGATCAGCAAGACGAAACAAGTTCTCCATCACCAATAAGGTAAGCTCAAAGGTGTTTTGTTTGATTGAAACTGTGGTTGTGTTTGTATACTTTAGAGAAGATTGTGAGTAAAAGTTTGAAGGGGTTGGGAATAGGAGAGCAGAATTTTGATTTTTGGAGAGGATGAGAATGAAGGGAGGAGTAGAGGGGCTTAAATAAGTGGATGGCAACAAAGAAGAGAGAGAGAGATGCATGTGATATGGAAGTGGGAGTCAATGAGCTTTTTTTTAAAAGTCATTCTCAATTACTCAAATCATAAGCTTCTGCCTAACCCCTTCATTATTTTATTTCCTTATTCCCTCCTCCATATAATATTAACATCTCACTCATACATACATTATGAATTTATTGTTGATAAACCCCATCATACACTATTTACTTTCAACGTCGTTTATGTAAATTTTCAACTAGGTACTAGGTGAGTGAGTGATTTGGGACGGATTGGGTTGGGTCAGGTCATATCAAGGAGGGAGTGAGTGATCGAAGACGAGTTGGTTGAGTTGGGTCAAGTCAGATCAAGTCTATAGTGACAATAAATGAATTGGATCGAGTAAGGAAGGAAGCAATGAAAGGGAGAGATGGAGTTTTGAAAGGAAGTTGAATCAGGTGAGCCCCTAGAAGAGACATTCCATGGCAATGATGAAGAGAAAAGATGCTGACTAGGACAATGAGAAGGGATCCCACGTGGAGGGAGGAAGTGGAAGGCATGGGGTGAGGGGGCCACACGTCAGCATCTTTGTACCTCAGAAAAAAAAATCGAAAATTTAGAATTTGCTGAGTGGAAAGGCTGTTTTGTTTTATGGCTCACACCACCACCTTGCCAACTGTTACACTTCAATATCTATGCTCATAAACATTAACTCTCTCTCTCTCTCTCTCTATATATATATACTTTTTCACCATTTTTTTTCCTCTTTGATATTTCTTTAGTAATTGTTTCTACTTCTGTAATTAACCGTAAATTTGGTTTATTCACGAGTTTATATTATTATTGTTTATTTCGCATATATTCTAATCTATAATCTTTTGGTTGAGTTTATATTGTTATAACTAATTGAGTTACGCGTCTTTTTAGATTTTCACTGATACATCTTTCAAGAGTACATGGAACAAAAATGTTATATTAGAGATCTAAACCTTAAGTTCATTCCATCACTTCTTTTTGTGAGTGTGTCAGGTGACCGCAAGAGTTTGGTTGTATATAAACTTTGGGAAGAAACTTGGTACGAATCTAAAAGGTGACAACGAAGTAGATTCAGATGGTGTAAAGATTTGATATGAAAGTGTAAAGAAAGGAGTTAGGTGGCTATCGAAACTAATAATATATTATACGAAGTAGATTGTTTTTCTCTTTTGGAAACCCTAAATATAAATTAGTATCCTATCATCATTCCCAACTTCATTGTAATCCTCACTTTCATTTATCGACCCCAACAAAAGTTGTTGTCAAATATTTTAGTTTTTACTAATATCTTGTTTTAAATGGATGGAGGATGTGTATTAACATTTAATGTCAATGTTAAAAACTAAAAAATTACTGGTTACCATTTTAACATAAAAATATTATTTAATTACCATTTTAATTTATGAACATTTATTTATTTATTTATTTTTGGAGGGCATCTTAAATTTTTTTTTGAAATAAAGTTCATGAATGTGACGGACACCTACATATCTTGCTTGGAATATATGACAGATGGGTTTTTTTCAAAGTTAATACCAAATGCATAATTATTTGGACGAAAATACCCTTTCATACCAAAATAATTAGCACCATAATTAGGTATAGATTACTAGATAATGGTATTAAAGGAAGATATATTTTTGTTGTTGGTTTTGAGAATTTGATTGTTATAAGGATAATTATGTTCTAATTATGTTTTAGTTTAAGATTAATTAGTGAAAGCTATTTGGTAATGCTCAATCAATAATCAATGGGTGGAAAGGGAATATTCATTAATTATTATAAGAACAAAAATTATGGGGTTTGGTTCATTTCATGATTACAAAAGGGCCCATTAGATTTTCTAACACTTTTTATTTCAATATTATATTAATTTCTAATCCAATCTCTCTCTATCCCTCAACCTACCCCTTTGTGGATAAGAATTCCTCAATTTAATTAGGGATATAAATTTATTTTAATTTATTTTTTTTAATTCTTTTGATAGGCCCGTTAAAAATAATCCGAACATAGTTTAATTGATTAAGATCGAAGACTTAATTGCTACCCTAACTTCATTTATTCTAAAACAACCGTTCTTTTTTATATTATTTGAGAAAAATATATGCTTCCATTATATGTCACAAAGAGATCAAACATTGCAACCATCAACAAAATTAATTATTACTCAATTTTCAAATTTTTAATTAATAAATTAAAATAAAATACAATAAGTAATAAGAGAAGGGTATGTGTCACAAATATACACCACCAGAATTATATATGTAATTAACATAATTATAAAGGAAAATAAATAAAATGAATCTTGAAGAAGATTTAGAAAATCCACATCATGGGTGACTCACTCTTATTAATTTTTAATTTTTGGGTTGTAAATTAAAATTAGTGAGGAATTAATTAATTAAAGTTGGGAATATTTTGTTTCATGTGTTTAGATATTTTGTGATCTATGATCTTTGTAACTATGATTGGTACCAACATATGTAAAATTATCAAACATGTTTAAGAAAAGAAAAAAAAAAAAAAAAAAAAAACTTTGGTCAAACATGTTTTTTTCCTTTTGTGAGTGGAGAGACAAAACACCCCAACTTTCTAAAAAAACACTCTTATATTATTTCACTAGTTTATGCCTTTTTTTTTTCTGCCTTTTCCCGACAGAAAGAACAACTTATTTAAGCATTCTCATGCTCTTCTAACTCTTGGTATTCTTTTGGTATTTTACTTTTCCACTAACTTCTGAATTTAAAACAAGAAAAACAACCTTTAATGTTTATTTAAAAAACTCCCCATAAACTTAAATGCTNTATTTATTAAAAAAAAAAAAAAACTCTTTTACTAAGTTCTACTGTATTATTTAAATATTATTTATTGCAAAAACGTTATTAAGATTCATTATTATTATTATTATTTTGAGCATAAAATTTAAATCTGAGTCAAAAATATTGAAAAATGTAAAATTTAATAGGAATAAATTATAGAAAATGATTTAAAAATATCTTTAAATTTTGAAAAGATTAATAATAGTTTTATATATTGATTAACTCACATTGTCACATGCCATACAACATGGACTTCATATTCCATACTTTATAATGCATAAAACCATATTATAAAAAAATATATAGACACATAAAAAACCAACTATTAATATATAAACTAATAAATAAACTTAAATCTTAAATCATTGTGCTAGCTAAGCTACAATGTGGCTGACCTCATCTTCAATTTCACACTTATTATTCCACTATATTCACATTCATACACTCCTATAATTACACATCACGCCCTTTACTTTTCTTATTTCTACAACAACCCCAATATTTTCTAAATTTGCTTTCTAAAACCCCCATCTTTTACAAAAATCTAATCATAACCCTTCTATTTTATTATTTAACTTTAACAAATTGATAATACGTGGCTCATTCTATATGCGCCACACTAGAGTACTATATATTTTATAATCTCTCTATTTTTATTTATAAATATAAAAGAAAATGTATATTGCGTGTTTTTTTATAAATAAATAAATACAATAAATATGAATAAATAAGTGGGTGGGGAAAACAATTTGAAAGAAGTAGAAGGTAGCTTTATAAATAAATAAATACAATAAAAAATGGTTTTGTTTAGAATAAAAGGGAAAAAAATAGTGATAAAGATGGCAGGTTAGAAGGAGAGGCATTGCATCTACCACATTTCCTTCATTTGTGCCATTATTGATTTGATAATTTCAATAAATAAACAATAAATTAAATTAAATTAAATTAAAATTAAAATTAAGGTTTAATTTGTCACTTCAATCTAGGTGTCTCCCCAGAGACATGTTTTGAATTCCCCAATGCATTATTCTTTAGTTTAACTTTCCTACCTTACAATATTTGATTTTTTTTCTAATTAATATAAAATTGGAAATTCATAAACTTAGTTTAAAAAAAAAATTAAAATAGGAGATTATGAGGGACTAAATATATAAAATTTAAAAAACTTAAGGACCAAACATAAAATTTAGCTATGATTAGTTGAAAACCCACAATGTTTGGAAGAAGAAAAAATTGTAGAGAAATCTTAGATATGTTTTTGACAATGGTACAATTATGAGATATGTTTGTCTAAGACAAATATTTTTCCAACTCCTTAGTTGAGACCATATGCATATTATATCTATATATATTAATCAATCATATGCATTTTTCTTTAGAAAATGTAAAACATGTTACAATTTTAATGCTACGGTTAAGAAGCTTGATTTGCCATAGGTTTTAATATAATAATAATAATAATAATAAATAACAGGAAAGGAAGGAGAGGGAAATCAAAATTGATAGAGGGACAGTCTCGTAATTTCACATATATTTATTAAATAAGATTGGCTAGAAAATTGTTGACTTTTAATGGATGACTCTCTCCTAATACTTCTATAACGGTTGGTGCGAGGTGAACCGGAGGGTTAGGAGGGAGCCCCTTATGTCTAGGCTAGATTGCATGGGTCTCCATTAGACCTAATCCGTTTAGACCATACTGATATACTCTTTGATTATTTCTTCTTTGCGTGTTTGACTAAGGTGCTTGTTCTTCTCTAACAAAACACGACATGGCGAGACGCTTACGATGGTGAAGTTGCAACGACCAACTCCTTGAAAACATCAATTTTTCAATATCATAACTAAAAATCGATGAAGAAGTCAAGACCGGATGAATAAATCTAGTTGTCATAGAAATTAGGAGAAATGAATTAGAAGTTGAGAAAAGGGAGTATGCATTGCATATTCCCTTCCGCCATCTGAGCTGAGCACCAACCAGCAGCGCTGGTGCATGCCACCCCCGTAGCTTCCTCCCATATGCATGCTGCCACACACAGCCCCCTTCCATTCCTTAATGCTCTCATATTAAAACCAACGTGCCGAGAGCATATTAAGTATATCCAAACTTACTTTAATCCTTCAACCATTTGAATTGATATCTAATATTCACCTGGAGAGACGAACAACATCAATACTATATCATTTTATTTCACGAACACTTCAAGAGTTGAAAATAAGTGTAGATCTGAAAATTTTCGAATATGTTAACCTTTCAAATTGTTGCTGAATTCATGAGCAGACAAACCTAGTGAATAGAAACCTCTTACTAACTAGAGGAAAAGAAAATAAAAGCGATTCCTGTAGTAGCAACGAGTGAAATGGGAGCAACCTAAACTGTAAAAACGGGATTGTGAGAGAGCAATACAAGCGTCGTGTCTATATGAAAAAGTGGAGTGTTGCACCCTAGATGGCGAGAGTCTAGTAGCTGAAAGCATCACTAGCTTA